CTTGTTGACAAAGCAATCGGCAAGCAGCGGCGTGTCATCAAAATTTATCTCAACAGAGTTTGGCCGCGGGGCTGCGGGCTGGGCGCGAGTCATCACAGCCGGCCCCAGCACTACTGTCGGCGCGGCGCGAAACCTGACCCGACGAGGGTGGCATGCGGCGCACCCGCCAGAACTTCGCTTCATTCTGCCTCACGGTTGTCAGCCGGGTTGTCAGTCACGAAAATTTTACGCTTGTAAGCAAATTGCAGCAAGTTTTACGCCATCAGGAGCTTGCAGCACAGATGAAGGCGTCTCAGCGCAGGCGGGTGGTCCGCTGAGCCGGATCTGTGGAGATTATAACAATGGCAGGATTTGTTACCGGTGAGCAGGGGTCTGTTGGGCCCTCCTGAACGGTGTCCCCCTGTGTCCGGGCCCTGCAGGCCCCTGTGCCTGCTGTGAAGTATGCCATGACGATCCATTGGTATCATGATACAATATGCATCAAGACGCACCGCACGAAGGGTGATGTGGTGCCCGCCCTGACGCTGGCAAAGCATTCCAATGCAGCTTGCGGGAATGCTGGCTTACATGTTGATCGTAGACTTGATCCCTGTCATGCTGACCCGCTCACAGACGCCTGTGCCGCGCTGAGCCCGCCCACTTGCGGTGCTGCTGTCACCCTCGCAGCCGTGGGCGACACGGTGCGCCCACTGCCAGCCTCGCTGGCGGCACAGGGCGGCTGCCCTGACTTGCTTGTGGACTATTTGCTCGAGGTGTTTGAGGAGGGCGACGCCAAGGCGGTGGACACCAGCAGGTGCGCCTGCAGGTTGGCTGCTTTGGCTGGCTGGTCGACGGGGTCAACGCGCGGCCGGCGGCCTCGGACCCGAAGCAGCCTATGTGGGTGTGACGTCTGCGGCAGGACGAGCACCTGCATCGTCCAACACGAACGACACGGTGCAATGCCTGCCAATTTACCGACTTCCAGGCTCGCCCCAGATGTGGACGCGCCGGGCGAGGGGTTGCCTGACGAGGCGGCGGCTGCCGGGGCAGCGCGCAGCGACGGCGCAGCGAGCAGCGGCGAGGACGGCGCGCGCATGGCGTCTCCCGAGGCAGCGGAGGCGCTGTTCGCTGACCTGGCGGAAGTGGAGGAGACGGCCCTGCCAGCTGCTGAGGAATGGGGGTGGCTGGGCCGCCTGATGAGGCCGGCGGCTGCAGGCGGCGGCGCCGGCGCAGAAGCAGCGGCGGCCGGCGGTTTCGGCGGCGGCGTGGTCGTGTGCGGCGATTGCCGGCGCATCGTGCTGTCCGCGCGCACGGCCGTGCACGCCCAGCGGTGCCTCGCGCGGCGGCAGCTGGCGGAGCGGCAGCAGCAGGCGCTGCAGCTGCGCGCGCAGCAGCAGCAGCGGCCGTCGACGCCGCCAATGTCAAACATGTCAAAGCCTGCAGGCAGCGGCCGCGGCGGCGCCAAGGGCCACCATGCAAAGGGGGGTGCCAAGCGGCCGGCGTCGACCCTCGGGCCGTACCGCGCCGCGCCGCCGCCCAGTGCCCTCGGCGTGGACGGCCGGCCGCCGCTGCCGCGCGCAGCTGCGCTGCGTGCTCAGCCCGGCACGGGCTGGCTGGTGCCGGCATCGCCTCTGATGTTTGGTCGCGGCGCGGCGCCGCCGCTGGATTCGGAGCTTTCGCCGCCGCAGCGAGGCGGCGGCGCTCGCGGCGGCGGCGCGCCAGGAGGCGCGGGCGAGCTCGGGGGCGGCGGCCCGCACCCGGCGCTGCTGGCGGCGCACACGAGGAGGCGGCGGTCGGAGACGCCTGTGCGGTGCGTGTGTTGGTGTTTGCGTTTGCGGGCGCGTGTGGGCACGCTGTTGAGGATGCACGTGAGCGTGGCTGCACTTCAGCGAGTTGGGGGGGTGTCCGCACGCGTCCGCGTACTTGCAGAAGCGTTTCTGCTCACAGCTTGTGTGCTGGAAATCATTGCATTCACATGTTTGCTGCATCTTGCACCCCAATATCTTGCCACAGGCGCCCACGCACCTCGCTCACGAGCAGCGGACCCTCAGTCAACCCTGGCGACTCGACCGGCGGTGCAGTGCCTGGGACGGCGTGGGGGTGGCAGCCGCCTGCGCAGCCTCCGCTGGCAGGCGTGCACAAGCGGGCTCTCACCCCCGCCGTGCAGCAGCCACAGCGGCAGCAGCAGCAGCAGCAGCACCAGCAGCAGCAGCAGCAACCTCGGCCGAAAGGCAAGGTGCAAAAGCGGCATGCAGCTCAGCAGCCAAGCACGCGGCAGGCGCAGGCGCCGCAGCAGCAGCGCCTGGCGCCCGCCTTCGCCACGACCGCGGCGGCTGCGCGGGCCTTGGACGCTGCAGCGGCGATGGCGTTCCCACCATCCCAGGCAGGAAAGCAGCAGCAGCACCCCATGGGGCGCAGGAGCTCCAACAGCGGCGGGGCAGCCACCAATGCGCGCCAGCAGGCAGGCGCGGGCGGCGCAGGCCAACAGCCGGGGCAGGCGCGGCCCCGGGCGCTGCCGTCCCTGCGCCGCTCGAGCAGCGGTGGGACCGGGGCTGGGGGCGGGGACGGGGGCCAGGGGGCAGGCGCGGTCGCAGCTAGCAATGGTGGGGCGGCAGATGGGTCTGCTGGAGGTGGTTTCTTTCAGAGCAGCACCCCCATCCAAGACCCTCGAATGATGCGGCGACAGCAGCTTGGAGCGCTGCTTGCGCCTCAGCAGCAGCAGCAGCAGCAGCAGCAGCAGCAGCAGCAGCAGCAGCAGCAGCGGAATGGGCAACAGCAACAGCACCAGCAGCAGAACGCTTCTGGGCCTGGAGTGCCCAGGTGGGATGGTTTCGTCCCAGTCGGTGCCAAGGGCCAGCAAGAAATGCATCAGCAGTTGCAATCGCCGCCGCAGCAGCAGCAGCAGCAGCAGCAGGCTGTGTCGGACGGCAGCATGGCGCAGCGCCTGGCGTCAGGGGCGCACAGCGCTTGGGCTCGCGGCATAGAGGAGGTGCAGGCGCGACTGCACCAGCAGCAACAACAGCAGCAGCAGCAACAGCAGCCGCCGGGCGGTGTGAAAGCGCAGGCACAGGGGCAGCAGCAACATCCTCAACAACAGCACCACCATCAGCAGCTGCTGCCGCAGCCGCAGCAGCAGCAGCACGGCCAGGCAGCAACCGCCGGCCAGCGCCTGCAACCAGGCCTGTTCTGTGCAGGCGGGCGG